GAAATACACTGGGCTCTTGAACAAAGAAAATGATGCTCAATATCAGCCATCTTTTTAATCCAGAACATCTGTAAAGATTAAAAAGTTGACCGGAGGCCTCCTGAAATAAACACTCGTATACATTATCTATGAGAGAGCAAACTGGTACAACCTCTCCCGTGGGCAATGTAACAGCAGCTAGAAAATTTTAAATGCACAAACCCTGTGACCAAATAACTCCACTTCTAGGAATTTATTCCAAAGATATACTTGGATATATTGTGCAAAAGCCTGCACCCAGGAATACGCACTGCAGCTGTGAAGTAGCAAAAAGATTAAAAAACTACCTCCACGTGCATCCACAGGGCACTCGTTATATTATGGTAGATGGACCTAATCATGTTCTTTGGCCATCAAAAGAATGCAATAGATCACTATGAAGTATTAAGAATGAATTCCAAGATTCACTATTAACGAAAAACAGAGCAAAGTGAAGAATACTTTTGGGTACATACACTGTGTGCACATAGAATATCTCTAGAAGGATACATTAAAAAGAGATAACAATGATTGCGTCCAAAAAGGAGAATCAGGCCAGGTGCAGTGGCTCCCACCTGTTATCACAGCACTTTGGGAGGCAGAGGTGGGAGGATCATTTGAGCTCAGGAGTTTGAGACCAGCCTAGACAACGTGATGAAACTCTGTGTCTACAAAAAGTTTAAAAAATTAGCTGGGTGTGGAGACATGCACCTGTGGTCCCAGCTGTTTGGGAGGCTGAGGTGGGAGGATCGATGAGTGCAAGAATTCAAGGCTGCAGAGAGCCATGATCATGCCAGTGCGCTTCAGCCTGGGTCTCAACAGAGCGAGACCCTGTCTCAAAATGAAAGAAAGAAATAAAGAGAGAGAAAGAGAGAGAGAGAAAGAGAAAGAGACACACAAGCTTTTGTATTGTTGGATAGTTTTTACCACATGCATGTATTGTCTTTTTTAATTGTTCAAGGTGTGTGTGTCCGTGTGTGTGTGCGCACGTGTGTGCATACACAACAAATGGGACCAGGTCTCTTTTCTGATTAAAACCTGCAAAGAGCTCACTGTATCCAGTTCAACTGTCAACCACATGAGAATGGGGACCATTTCTATTCTGCTTAGGGAATAAACTAATGGCTGAGTGTGTCTCTGGGATAAATGCCTCGGCCCAGAACACAGCTCACTCTGCATGGCAGAAGTGCACTCCGCTCCAACCACCCTCCCACGGCTGGACCTCTGGCACATCACGCTCCCTTCGAGTCTCCACGCCTCTGACATGACACTTTCTAATGCCAGCTCCTTCCAGAGAACTCTCCTGACAGCCCCAGTTCCTACCACACCGCAGTCTCTCAAAATTTCCATTTAGTTTTGAGCCTGTCTCTGTTATAACCCCTCTGTACTGCGCTTATATGGAAGATGGAGTTCACATCTTACTTGGGGCATTGATTACAAAATCAGCACATACAAGAAAATCAAGTACACTTAAAATTACCCTTGAA